CTCCACCACTGAAATTTCCTGGTTGATACAGACGCCATTAAGCAATTGAATGTGCATGCATACTCCGTCCAGCCCAGCTCCCTCAATTTTTTTATTGGGGGGGGCTGAAGGGAGCTCGGCCCCTAGGAGTTGGCTCTGATGGCTGACGGTTTTTAATTGTTTTAGAGCAGGGGTCAGCAAACATTTCCTGCAGGGGGCCAGTCCACTGTTCCCCAGACTATATTTTGGAGGGGGGCGGGTGGAATGAAAGAATTCCTATGTCCCACAAATAACCCAGAGATGCATTTGAAATAAAAGCACACATTCTATTCATGTAAAAACACGCTGATTCCCGGACTGTCCGTGGGCCAGATTGAGAAGGCGATGGGGCCGCATCCGGCCCCCGGGCCTTAATTTGCCTACTCATGTTTTAGAATATCACACACAGATGCAGAGCTTCCCTTATCCAGCTGCACATTTCGCCCCGTCCGTTCCGGCTCTCTGCAAAGACACGGAAGGCAATAAGAAGGAAGAGACAGGAAAGAGGAACTGCTGTGCATTTTTCCCCGTTTTCTAATCTTTTATTAGGAATCTGATAGTACAGAAGTGTCACAGCAGGCTGGGAAAGCCCCAAAGGCACATCTTTCTGAAAGTACAAGGGATCCAAAAAGTCACCAAGATTGTTGGGGTCCAAAAGTCACCAAGATTGCGGCTCAGTGGGGCGACCGTCAGAATGGAGGGGGGAGATTGGGGAAGCAGTTAAAGGGGAGTGGTGGGAGGCAGGCAGATCCGAGCCACCATGGGACCGATCCACCAGGACGTTCTCCTGCCCGACTCAATGATTTCAATCAGCAATGCAAAAGATTTCCCAAGTCTGTTTCGATGCCCCATGGATGACAGCATAAAAGACTTATCATCTGTACATGCATTGGAAGACAACACTTGGTAGTTTTAATTTTTTGCCAGGAAAGTTTGTAATAATTTTAAAAAATTAAGAATAATGTAAATGAGGTCCGTCCGGGCAGGAGAGCTTTCCAGTGGGCTCAATCTCTGCAGGCCTCTTTCGAGATATAGCCTGCGCTCTATTTTCCTTTGCAAATCGATCAGACTGCTTTCAAAGCAATTAACGCGAGTGAGTAACCAACTACACATCGCAGCCCTAAATTATATAGTGAGAGGGGTGTGTGTGGGAAATTACAGAGAAGGAAAAACTGCTCTGGGAATATCCTGTGGGCAAACCATTTGATGGAAAGCGAGAGCACATTTCAAGGCAGCCTAATTGCCGAAATCGCAAGCAAATCATTTTGCAAAGCAGCGGGGCTTGAGGAGCGCAAGGCTGTAAAAGGCAAGAGGAACAGAAGCTGATGTTTCAAGGGCTCACGGTTTGCTCACAGATGGTGCAAAGCAAGCTCCCAAATGCTCCATCCCCATGGGATGGGACAAAAACATCTGGAGCGCAGGTGTGGCTGGTCTGACGGTATCTGCGACCCAAAGCAATATCTTCAAGGGCAGCAGTGAGGCTACGAAACAGTGTAAAACCAGGTCAGGCTATTTTTTTGTCTAGGGATGGTGGGTAAATCTGTCCGTCTGGGTCCATTTCTTCCTTTTAATTTCTGATTTTTATTGGCATTATTAACAACCCCAAAGTGATGTAGCTGGGTATTGCTTATGGAAAGCAAAAAAGCAATAAAAAGCAGAGATATCACCTTGCCGACAAAGGCCTGTATAGTCAAAGCTATGGTCTTCCCAGTAGTGATGTATGGAAGTGAGAGCTGGACCATAAAGAAGGCTGATCGCCGAAGAATGGGTGCTTTTGAATTCTGGTGCTGGAGGAGACTCTTGAGAGTCCCATGGACTGCAAGAAGATCAAACCTCTCCATTCTGAAGGAAATCAGCCCTGAGTGCTCACTGGAAGGACAGATCCTGAAGCTGAGGCTCCAAGACTTTGGCCACCTCATGAGAAGAGAAGACTCCCTGGAAAAGACCCTGATGTTGGGAAAGATGGAGGGCGCAAGGAGAAGGGGACGACGAAGGACGAGATGGTGGGACGGTGTTCTCGAAGCTACCAGCATGAGTTTGACCAAACTGCGGGAGGCAGTGGAAGACAGGAGTGCCTGGCGTGCTCTGGTCCAGGGGGTCACGAAGAGTCGGACACGACTAAACGGCTAAACAACAAGAACAATAGGGGAAAGAAATGGCGATGTACTGATATCAACAGAGCCATCTCTATTTCCCAAGGAGGCATGGATGGTGGATGTTGAACATCTGAGTCCGAAAACATAGGAAATAAAATGCGGCCAGATAGTACAGAAATATTCTGGATCCTCAACCTGCCTGGAAACGTGCAATTCATGCATATTCCCCCCCCCCCATAGCCAAAGACCCTAAGTTCTTATGCCACATGTAAGTTCTTTCTCATTGCTGGGTCCTCGAAATCCTGGCTGCAGCTAAGACTCATGACGAAAGCTCTTTCGGGTGACAAGCCTTCATGTTAGTCGTTCACATACTGAGTGATGGCAATTGTGAGGGAGCCTGAACAACTGGATTTAATTATTTTAGAGATTTCTCGGAACTTGGGACCAGAACAATGAAACCCAAGAGCATTCCCATCGAAGTATCTCATTTTTCCAGTCATGTTCAGCTCTCTCTCTCTAATATTCATGAAAATTAATCAGCATTTTAGTGTGAACGTCTAATATATATGTTTCTCTATGCAATTTTCCTAATATTTTTTGCAAAGCAATCTCCCTAATATGATTGATGCTTGTATGTATGTTCTTTTACTAATAAATGCATTTTGGGGCCTACTTCATTCTAGTGCATGCATTTTTTAAAAAAAATACAAATCTGCGTTACAAAATTAAAAGAAGTGCAAGTTCCGAAGGACAGCTGTGTTTTGGGTTCATGGGCTGCAAATGTGAATCAATGCAAACCAAATCTTTTTCTTCTTCTTCAAGCCTAACTGGGTTGTCAGAGGCTTTCTAAGGAAACGCGTCTCCCCCATCACCACAACCCTTTTAAAACCGGAGTCGGGGGGGGGGCAGGTTTAACCTGGGGCATTCTGCATGCATTTGAAACAGGCGTTCCGCTGCTGAAAGGTGCAGACTAGACGCTTCGTTTTCCTGGACCTCCAGCAGAACTACCGTACTTTTCCGTCTATAAGACCTGTATTCGTTGTAGACATATGACTATATTTCACCTGATCCATCCACTGTAATTATTTAGTTTGCAGATGATACTACCATAATGGGTCTAATTGCAGGTGGAGATGAAACAGTGTACAGGGGGCAGGTTCAAAAAGTATCTACATGGTGCTTAGAGAATAACTTGCACCTAAATATTAGTAAGACTGATTGCCGAAGAATGGATGCTTTTGAATTCTGGTGCTGGAGGAGACTCTTGAGAGTCCCATGGACTGCAAGAAGATCAAACCTCTCCATTCTGAAGGAAATCAGCCCTGAGTGCTCACTGGAAGGACAGATCCTGAAGCTGAGGCTCCAATACTTTGGCCACCTCATGAGAAGAGAAGACTCCCTGGAAAAGACCCTGATGTTGGGAAAGATGGAGGGCACAAGGAGAAGGGGACGATGGAGGACGAGGCAGTGGAAGATAGGAGTGCCTGGCGTGCTCTGGTCCAGGGGGTCACGAAGAGGCGGACACGACTAAACAACTACACAACAAGACAAAGGAGATGGTGTTGGACTTCTGGAGGAAGAGAGGGGAACCTGCGCCGCTGTATATCGGGGGGGGGGGCTGTGTGGAGGGAGTCTCCTCCTTTAAATTAAAAAAAAAATCAAAGATAGACAGCCTGAATGATTTTCGCCCTGTGGCTTTGACACCCATTATAATGAAATGTTTCAAAAAACTGGTGAGGAACTGCATTATATCTTGTCTGCCAGTGGGACTTGACCCTTACCAGTTTGTTTACAAGGCAGAGATCCATGGAGGATGCTGTGGCAATGGCTTTACATGCTGTCCTGACTCATCTGGAGAAGAAAGGGAACTATGCGAGATTGTTATTTGTAGACTTTAGTTCTGCATTTAATACTATTCTTCCGCATAGATTGGTGCCCAAACTATTAGACCTGGGACTTCCACTGTGTTTGTGCAGGTGGATATTAGATTTTCCACCAAACCGTTCCCAACGGGTCAGGATGGGTTCCCACGTCTCTGTGGATCTCATCATGAATACGGGGTGCATGTTGAGCCCACTTTTATACACGCTCTATACAGCTGGCTGTGCCCCCCAAAACCCCAATAATAAGATCATTAAGTTTGCAGATGATACAACGGTGGTTGGTTTAATCACGGCTGGAGAGGGGGAGGCGGCCTATAGGAAGGAAGTTGAGCAGTTGGGGGAGTGGTGCAGGAAAAACAACTTACTCCTTAAAGAAAACAAAAGAGATTATTGTGGACTTTAGGAAATGTAAATTGAATATTCAGCCACTCATTATTGAGGGGGAGTGTGTGGAACAGGTCTTGGTGCTTCGATTTCTGGGAATGGAGTTGAGAGATGACCTAACCTGGGGAGAAAACAGCAAAGACCTGATGAAGGGAGCACAGGAGAGGTTATATTTTCTGAGAATCCTCCAGAAAAATAATCTCTCAAAGGACCTGTTGATGGCATTTTACCATTGTACTGTGGAGAGTGTATTAACTTATGGTCTCTGTGTGTGGTTTGGGAGCTGCACGGTCAGGGGAAAAACAATGCTGTCCAGGATTGTAAAGACTGCGGAGAGAATAATTGGGTGCACTCTTCCCACCTTGGATCAAATCTACGCTTCCAGGTGCCATAAGAAAGCTGCAGAGATAGCGCAGGATAGTGCGGACTCCAGAAATGATCTCTTTCAGCTTCTGCCTTCTGGAAGAAGGTCCAGGGTTATAAAGACTAGGACTAGCCGCCTGAGAAACAGTTTCTATCCAAATGCAATTTTGGTTCTAAACGCAGTGTAAGGTAGTCTCTGTGGGAGTATATTGTATTTAATTAGGGGGTATCAGAGTTTTTAGGGGGCTAACCAGGTTGGGATAGCAGGCTTGTTGGTTTCTGAATGTCTGGTGTAGATTTTTTCAATTTCGTTGTTCCGTATGGGACAATGACAATAAAGATTATCATACTGCATCGAAAATAACTTAGTGAAATTGACTTGCGAGGTGGCGTGTTGTTCGATAAGAGATTGAGTGTTTGGGGGGGGGAGGCTCATTTAATTTCATTGTACACAGGTTGTACAATTACAATAAAGGCATTATTATTATTATTATTATTATTATTATTATTATTATTAATCAGGAGCCCTCTGAAACAGCAGGGCAACATGCGCTCAGCTGAGCAGGACTCCATTCCGGCAACAATCCCTCCCAGACATAAATACGCATTTATAAAGCTCATGGGAAGGAGATTGATGGATGATTGGTCCTTTTTTCAAGAAATCCTTGCCTCGGGTTTCTCTTTTAAAAATATTATTACCAACCCCTGTTTCCAACAGAGACGGAATCACTGCAAAGGACTTTCCCTGCACCTGGGAGTTCCACTTGGAAGAGAGGAGCAAAAAAGGGGGGAGTCCGGGTGTGTATGTGTCCATCGTTGAGTCACATCAAGAGCAGATTTGTGTCTTGCTAGTTTTTGTTTGGAGTTGACTCTGCGCAAGCCTTCCTCGAGGAAAGAGATTTGCCAGTTCCCGCAGTCTTCTCCTCCGTGTAGAAGCCTTGCCGCATGGTGGCCGCCAAATATTTGAAGAGGCTCTGGGGGGGAAGGGGGAAGAGAGAGGCAAACGTTTACTGGGTGAACCCTGCCCCCCAAAAGGGGGAGGAATGGGGGCATGGAGGGTTATGGCAGAACCAGGGGGTGAAAGGGTAGGACCACGTTCCAAAAACACAGACGCAACACCCGACCGACCCTTGCCATTTTCACGTCAATCTGAAATTTGCTATGGCCACTTTATAGCGGGAAGGTAAACGGCGTTTCCGTGTGCTGCGCTGGTGCTGGCTCGCCAGAGCAGCTTCGTCACACTGGCCACGTGACCCGGAGGTGTCTGCGGACAGCGCTGGCTCCCGGCCTCTTGAGCGAGATGAGCGCACAACCCTAGAGTCGGACACGACTGGCCCGTATGGGCAGGGGTACCTTTACCTTTAAGTCAGATTAGGGACGCGGGTGGTGCTGTGGGTAAAACCTCAGTGCCTAGGACTTGCTGATCGCAAGGTCGGCAGTTTGAATCCCTGCGGCGGGGTGAGCTCCCGTCTTTCGGTCCCAGCTCCTGCCCACCTAGCAGTTCGAAAGCACCCCTAAGTGCAAGTAGATAAATAGGGACCGCTTTCTAGCGGGAAGGTAAACGGCGTTTCCGTGTGTGGCGCTGGTGCTGGCTCACCAGATGCCGCTTAGTCATGCTGGCCACGTGACCCGGAAGTGTCTCCGGACAGCGCTGGCCCCCAGCCTCTTAAGTGAGATGGGCGCACAACCCTAGAGTCGGACACGACTGGCCCGTACGGGCAGGGGTACCTTTACCTTTACCTTTAAGTCAGATTAGGGGGACGCGGGTGGCGCTGTGGGTTAAACCAAAGAGCCTAGGGCTTGCCGATCAGAGTCAGCCCAGAGTCAGCCACAACTAGACCTAATGGTCAGGGCTCCCTTTACCTTTACGTCAGATAAACAACAGGTGCTAGATTCAGAAAGAAAACCCACACGGAATGATTAAAAAAAAGACACACCACATTCTTGTTTTAAGAGAAAACAAGAATAGGATATTTCTATGGAGCGGAAATCTAATTAAGGGCCCATGAAATCAAACTTGATCATGCTTGTCCAACGGTTTGTCGGAAGGTACCCAAAAGAGGTGCCTCCCCATTGCTTTGGAAATAGCACATTGGACAGGCATGCTCAGTCCCACACAGGTTTAATCGGGGGAAACTGCTTAGTCGGGGATAAGAGGACCAGAGGGAGGGGCGGGGGAAAAAAAACCCACAAACATAGTTCTGTCCCATGCTGCTTTCATTCATTAAAAAAGAAATGCCCAAAACTGTTTCGTCTCATGCTGCTTGTGTGGGGGGTGTTTATTTATTTCAGAAATATCACCCCCCCCAAAAAAAATAGGTCTGTCAATTTTTACCAAAAAAAAGAAAACACTGTTGCTGTAGGTAGGTTTTATTTTATTTGTTTTTTATATTTTGGAAATGTATATCCAGGTTTTTTTCCCTTTACATTTTTTGCCCCCCCCCCCAAGAGAGTGGGGCCCTAAGGTATAGCTTGTTTAGCTTTTACGTAAATCCGGCACTGGGCGTGACGGACTTAGTTCTGCTCATTTCGCTGGGTCTGCTCCGAGTGGAACTTAACTGGCGTCAGCCCTGCAAGTTTCTCTTACCTGCCAAGCCTTCTCGACCTCCGGAGTCCAGTGTTCTTTTAGAATGGGCTGGACAGCTTGGATGAACTGAGCGCCTACGTACTGGAGGAGAAGTCCAGAGAAGGGAGGGTTATTTGGGGAGGTCAAAAGAGAGAGGAAGAAGAGAAGACAGGTTGTATTCTTTACTCAGCCCCATCTTTTGATTCTGGAAACGAGGAGCAGGGAAGAACCATCCAGTTCCGGCAAAATCTGGGGGTCATTAATACTCTTTTTCTTGGATGGTTTGGAAGCACAGCACATAGGAATAGGTGAATCTGCCATTTACCTTCCCGCCAGAGTGGTACCTATTTATCTACTTGCACTGGTGTGCTTTTGAACTGCTAGGTGGGCAGGAGCAGGGACCGAGCAACAGGAGCTCACCCCGTCACGGGGATTCGAACTGCCGACCTTCTGATCGGCAAGCCCTAGGCTCTGTGGTTTAACCCACAGCGCCACCCGCGTCCCTAACAATAATTGACGATCCTCAAAAGGTGACAATAAACTAAAAACAGATTGAAACTCACATCAACTTTCTAAATAGCTGGGTAAAAGGTAAAGGTAAAGGGACCTCTGACCATTAGGTCCAGCCGTAGATGACTCTGAGGTTGCGGCGCTCATCTCGCTCTATAGGCTGAGGGAGCCGGTGTACAGCTTGCGGGTCATGTGGCCAGCAGGACTAAGCCGCTTCTGGCGAACCAGAGCAGCGCACAGAAACACCGTTTACCTTCCCGCCAGAGCGGTACCTATTTATCTACTTGCACTTTGATGTGCTTTTGAACTGCTAGGTTGGCAGGAGCAGGGACCGAGCAACGGGAGGTCACCCCGTCACAGGGATTTGAACCGCTGACCTTTTGATCCGCAAGTCCTAGACTCTGTGGTTTAACCCACAGCGCCACTCGCGTCCCAGTAGCTGGGTAGGTGTGTCTAAATGAAAATGTTTTTTTGCAGCCGCGGGAAAGCATACAGGGAAGGCACCTGCCTGATATCAACGTGCATGGAGTTCCACAGATGCCGCCACACTGAAAGATCCATTTCTTCCAAATGTGGACCAGGTATTACCTGGCACCTGTAGCAATGCCAGTTCTGACTGAGGTGAAGTATCAGTCAAGGATTTCCTGGCTGCAGCTTCTGGATCTAACAAATTCCTCTCCCATTTTTCCCACGAACTACGTTAATCTGTGGGGCCGCAGAGGGGACCACCTGCCCCTGCCTTCCTCACCTCATAGTACTTGGGGGGTGCCTTGTACCGGAAGTGATTCCTGCCCAGCTCAAAGGCCAACTGCTCCAGTTTGTCCTCCTGGTCGAGCCGCGCCACGCTCTTCTCGATGAACGACATCACTCTGGCGACGGAAAGAGGACATGGAAGAGACAGAGAAGGAAGCTTGGCGTCAGAACAGCCACAGGTGGGAGCCCACAACGCGCATTCAGATACATGCTGTCTCTATGGGATGTAACAGAAACAATCTAGTACATTTCCTGTTTGCCCAGAGTGGACATGCAGGGGGGATGTTGGTCCAGCCAGGAGGACTTCCTGTCACACCTGGTCTGGAGCATCCTCAGGTAGAATGAAGCAATGGTTCTTCAACATCATGGGTAGGCAAACTGGGGCCTGGGGGCTGGATCCGGCCAAATCTCCTTCTAAATCTGGCCAGCGGATGGTCCAGGAATCAGCATGTTTTTACATGAGTAGAATGTGTGCTTTTATTTATAATGCATCTCTGGGTTATTTGTGGGGCATAGGAATTCATTAATTCTCCCCCCCCCAATATAGTCCAGCCCCCCACAAGTTCTGAGGGTCAGTAGACTGAAAAAAGTTTGCTGACTCCTGTTCAACATCAACTTCGTTGAACTGGTCATGTTGTGTGGATGCCTGATGATCGTCTTCCAAAGCAGCTACTCTATTTCAAACTTAAAAATGGAAAGCATGATGCTGGTGGTCAACAAAAGAGGTTCAAAGACTGTCTCAAGGCAAATCTTAAAAAAATGTAGTATAAACACTGACAACTGGGAAACACTGGCCTGCGAGCGCTCCAGTTGGAGAACAGCCTTGACCAAAGGTGTCGTGGGCTTTGAAGACACTCGAACTCAGGACGCAAGGGAGAAACGTGCTAAGAGGAAGTGGAATGATGTGTGGAAGGATGTGTGAATCCAGAATTGGCCTCCACAGTCACTTACGGACTCATTGTTAAAACTGTGTTTATGGAAGACAATCTTACTTGGCGACAAGGGATCGCCAAAGAAGAAGAAGAGGAGGAGGAAGAAGAGATGGGTGTGACCCTGGAAGACCCCGTAAAAGGGCTGGTCACGCAGCCATCTTCCCTTCTGCTTCTTCGCTTTATTCCACCCTGATCCCTTTTGCTGTCTGCTGGTACTCAGCCAGCAACACATGGGCTCAATCATCAATAGGATGAACCCACACTCTCTTCTGTAACTAGAAGCTTAAGCCTGCCTTCAGGATCACACTGTGGACTGAATGTGAGCAAACCTCTTATTACTTTTAAGAGAAGACTGGTGCGTCTTTATTCTTTTGAAGGGGGAACAAAGGGGATTTGCCAGGAGCTAATCCAATCTGGACAAGCCAGACTGGATTGCTTAAATCAAGAGATTGTAATGAATTTACCAACTAGTCCATGGGGTCACGAAGAGTCGGACACGACTAAACAACTAAACAACAACAAAGTTTATTGCGCAACAGGTTCAAAGAGGAATTTTGAAACCTGAGGATGGGGTGACAAAGACATTTAAAACTTTCCCACCGTATCCCAGAATACAGTTCGTACAGCATCATTGCTGCATCACTGACATGTCACAAAAGGGGAGGGGTAGACAGGGGTTTCCTGCCAACCTAGCAGTTCGAAAGCACGTCAAAGTACAAGTAGATAAATAGGTACCACTCCAGCGGGAAGGTAAACAGTGTTTCCGTGCGCTGCTCTGGATCGCCAGAAGCGGCTTATTCCTGCTGGCCACATGACCCGGAAGCTGTACGCCGGCTCCCTCGGCCAATAAAGCGAGATGAGCGCCGCAACTCCAGAGTCGGCCATGACTGGACCTAATGGTCAGGGGTCTCTTTACCTTTACAGACAGTGGTTACTAGTTTAACCTTGGCAAACATGTCCAGACAAGTCCTTGGTACAAGATTAGCATAAGCAGACATGTCAGGGCAAGACCCAGGTATAAGATTAGCAGAGGCAAACACCTCTGAAGTCCCACCACCCAAAGTACAATAGAACTTCCTTTGCATGTCTGGACCCCTTGGCAAGTCCGGTGATTAGGCTTTCCTTGGCCAACAATCAGCTCAGCAATTGTCACCTCTGGCAACTTCCTGGAGTCCTTTTTCAAGGGGAAAATAGCTTTGGAATGGAGGAAACTGGCAAAGGAGTTGATTTTATATGATTTTTAAAGCTAGGTAACTTCCCTGAGCTGTCAAGTTGAAAGGATACATTCAGGCATAATATTTGTAACATTTAACAACTTTAAAGATGTGCCCCCCTCCATAATTTCCATAACACCTACAAGGTGCTACATGAAGTTGTTCTTTTATTATTATTATTATTATTATTATTATTATTATTATCATCATCATCTGTCCTGAATCTTCCGATTTTCAGCTTCAGACCCAGAGAAGAGGGGCTGTTTTTGGCGCTACCCACCTGAGGCCGTGGGCTTGCAGTTCCTTGCTCATCTTCAGCTGCTGCAGGTCATCGATGTCCCGGAAGAGGAAGAAAACCTCTTTGCACTCGGGGTGGGTCTCAAACAGTCTGCAGAAGGAATAAGAGGAGAAGCTTCAGTTCTCTGGGTTATCCAGAGGGAAGGCTTTCCTCACGGTAAGGCTTGCCCACCGACGCCACTCTCCGACCACCAGGGCTGGATTTGGATGGACTAGAAGAAAATGGAAGAGGGTTATAAACAAAACCGAGTGAAGCCAAGGATGATGACGGGGATTTAAAATCCTGCAATTCACAATTTATCCTCTAAAGGGCGTAAGATGTGATTGTTGTAATACCGTGGTGGTTTTAAAAAATGCATAAAAGTTAAAATTAACACTGAAAAACTTTTGCAATAACCAAACTTTTTTTTTTTTTTAAGAATAGCGCTGCAACTTCATTTTCCTAAAAATGAATGCTTATTCCACGAAAGGTTTACAAAGTTTGGTTATTGCAAAAGTTTTTCAGTGTTAAAAAATGCACAAAAGTTAAGATTAACACTGAAAAACTTTTGCAATTTCCGAACTTTGTAAACCTTTTGTGGAATAAGCATTACTTATCCCATTCTTCGGCGATCAGCCTTCTTGATGGTCCAGCTCTCACTTCCATACATCACTACTGGGAAAACCAGAGCTTGAACTATACGGACCTTTGTTGGCAAGGTGATGTCTCTGCTTTTTAAGATGCTGTCTACCTTTAAATACGGCCAACTCCAATCCACACAGAAATACGTGCTCCCAGGAGAGGGTGGTGTTGGATAGCTAATTCCGAGCTCTTTGCAGCTGATCTTTTGTTCCTGCCACAAAGTCCTCCTTTGGGGAAATTAACAGGAAATGTCTAACGCGTTGCAGCTGGAATCGGTTCTGGGGAAATATGCAAATAATCCATTTGTTTTAAGAAGCCAAGAAGAGTGAAGTGGGATTGCCACAGTTCTTTTTTTTAAACTCAGCATCCTGACAGGAGCCACCCAGAAGCATACTTGGGAAACCTACAGGCAGGAGATGATGTTCTGATGAGTGGAGGCTGCTAACCATAGTTTCCCAGTGTGGATGTAACAGGAGAGAGAGGGATGGAGCTCCCCCAATGGTGTTCAGTGTGGGATGTGACCCATGAGAAGCAGTCAAGTATAACATTCCTTGTTTTCCTAGAGTGGACATGCAAAGGGATGTTTGGTCCAGCCAGTCAAAACTTCCTGTTTCCTCCTGGCTGGAGCATCCTTCCTTTTGCATGTGATAGAAGGTGGGCGAAATTAAAAGACGCCTGCTTCTTGGGAGAAAAGCAATGACAAACCTAGACAGCATCTTAAAAAGTAGAGACATCACCTTGCCAACAAAGGTCCGTATAGTAAAAGCTATGGTTTTCCCATTAGTGATGTATGGAAGCGAGAGCTGGACCATAAAGAAGGCTGATCGCCAAAGAATGGATGCTTTTGAATTCTGGTGCTGGAGGAGACTCTTGAGAGTCCCATGGACTGCAAGAAGATCAAACCTCTCCATTCTGAAGGAAATCAGCCCTGAGTGCTCACTGGAAGGACAGATCCTGAAGCTGAGGCTCCAAGACTTTGGCCACCTCATGAGAAGAGAAGACTCCCTGGAAAAGACCCTGATGCTGGGAAAGATGGAGGGCACAAGGAGAAGGGGACGACAGAGGATGAGATGGTGGGACAGTGTTCTCGAGGCTACCAGCATGAGTTTGACCAAACTGCGGGAGGCAGTGGAAGACAGGAGGGCCTGGCGTGCTCTGGTCCAGGGGGTCACAAAGAGGCAGACACGACTAAACGACTAAACGACAAAAACAACAAAGAGATTCAGACAAATCAGAAAACCAGCTTCCTGCCGTATCGAGGGGGAACTGGTTTGCTACATGACACACTAGTGTGAGTGAAGGAAGGGTAACATTTAATGAATATATCCTCTCCTACTATCCTTAACATTCCCACAAGGACAGATGCAGATTCACTCCCCTTCAAGGGCTGGACTGGATTAAGGCAGAGGCAACTGTTGATTTGGCCTCTTGCCTCTCACTGACAGGGCAGCGTTTAATATCAAAGGCTGGGGAGGAGGCAATAAAACTCTTGCGAAAGGCAGGCGGTGTTTGATTCTTGCAAAATCCCCCAAAGATTTGCCGTGGCTTTATTAGCCGTTATCTGTGAGTTTTCCAACATGCTCAGGTATAAGTTAAATATGGATAAGGGGTTTAAAGCAGAGAAGGCTCAGCCAGCAGGATATAAGCTTTGAAAATTGGATTGGAATTTAATAACGCGTCCTAATTAACTGAGGAGAAGGATTAGCTCAGACCTGAGCGAACGGATTAGATTGAATCAGGAGACAATGTTTGCACCAACCCAGGAGGATTTTGATCAGTGGGGGAAATTCAATCAGTCACGACCGCCTATTAAAATATCAGTTGTATGCCTAAATTCGTGTTATTTTTGCAGGGTCCCCGTACGGCGGTAAAATGCTTCTCTGTGGCTGTGTACACCTCATAACTTTAAGGCGCATGATACCGCCCCTCCCCCCAAAAAAAAAGAATCAAGAGAAGTGAAGTTTGTTAAGGGTGCTGGGAATTATAGCTCAGCGGGGTTGGTGCAACCAACAGTTCCCAGCAACGCGAGGCACTTGCAGACTGTCAGTTTTTGCAGGGGTGGTGTCAGGGACCGTGCTGAGGAGGGCTGCACTGAGGACAACAGTATAGATTTGGAACAGCGGTTTGCAGAGGGACATAGTTCAGAGGACAGAAGCTGGGAAATACTGGATGGGGAACAGCTAGGAGAAGAAACACTGGAAGATTCGCAGTCTCTGGACAGCATTCCTCTGCTCTCGCCAAGGTCAAGAAGAGCTCGGAAAGTGTCAGAACAGAAAGCACACACAGCACAGAGGGAACAAGATCAGATTACAAGATGTAGACGTGACGTAGATTAATAGGGACGTAAGGCGGTGGGATCCTTAATTGGGAGCACCGCCATTCCAAGGAGATAAATAATAATAATAATAATTATTATTATTATTATTTATGTATACCCCGCCTATCTGGCAGGGCTTCCCCAGCCACTCTGGGCGGCTTCCAACTGAATTTTAAAAATAATACAGCATCAAACATTAAAAACTTCCGCCTTCAGTTGTCTTTTAAAAGTAAAATAGTTGTTTATTGCCTTGACATCTGCTGGGAGGGCGTTCCACAGGGTGGGCGCCACCACCGAGAAGGCCCTCTGCCTGGTTCCCTGTAACCTTACTTCTCGCAGGGAGGGAACCACCAGAAGTCCCTTGGTGCTAGACCTCAGTGTCTGGGCTGAACGATGGGGGTGGAGACACTCCTTCAGCTATACTGGGCTTTTGAGGCCGTTTAGGGCTTTAAAGGTCAGCACCAACACTTTGAATTGTGCTCAGAAACGTACTGGGAGCCAATGTAGGTCTTTCAAAACCGGTGTTATGTGGTCTCGGCGGCCACTCCCAGTCCCCAGTCTAGCTGCCGCATTCTGGATTAGTTGTAGTTTCCGGGTCACCTTCAAAGGTCGCCCCACGTAGAGCGCATTGCAGGAGTCCAAGCGAGAGATAACCAGAGCATGCACCGCTCTGGCGAGACAGTCTGTGGGCAGGGAGGGTCTCATCCTGCGTACCAGATGGAGCTGGTAGACAGTTGTCCTGGACACAGAATTAACCTGCGCCTCCATGGACAGCTGTGAGTACAAAATGACTCCCAGGCTGCGCACCTGGTCCTTCAGGGGCACAGTTGCCCCATTCAGGACCAGGGAGTCCTCCACACCCGCACGCCTCCTGTCCCCCCAAAACAGTACTTCTGTCTTGTCAGGATTCAACCTCAATCCTGAGATTTGCTCTTTGTTCTCTTGCTGCAATTCTTAGAGCTTCTAACTGGTAAGAAGACTCCTTTTCCTTTGTTCTGCTTGTCTGCTGCCACGGGGGGAGAAAGCCAATTCCCTGACACAGCCACATTTTGGGAATACTTTCCCCAAAGGTCAAACTTCTTACAAGAAGGAATGTGACAGGGGAATCGCACCGGGAAATGAGAACGTAAGAACATAAAGACAAGCCTGCTGCGTCAGGCCAATGGCCCGTCCAGCCCAGCAGCCAACCAGATACCCAAATGGGAAACCAGGAATCAGGATTCAAACACAAGACCCGCTCTCCCCTCCTGTAGTTTCCAGCAGCTGAGATTCAGAAGCAGTGCTTCCTCCGACCGTGGAGTCAAGATCATAGTTTGGGCCCTGAAATCTCGGGGTCTGGGGTGCACCTAACCTGCTCCCCTCACATTTATTTGAGTCTTTGTTTTTATTGTGCCAGTTAATTTTCATTTGCCATTCGAATTCATCATTTTCAGTTTTTGGAAGCCAGCTTGGAGCTTTGTGGTTTAGAAGAAGGAAGGCTAAGGCTAATCTAACGAATCAATCAATAAATCAGCTGAAATATTATAAATGCCAGGCAGACAAATGACAACCACACACACATGTCCAGGTTTGTGAAATTGTTATGTACTGAAGTTCTCACCCTGGGCCAGCAGGGGGATACTGTAGATAGTTTTCACTCAGGTCCACATATGCAAATAAGGGATCAAAAGTGACGTTCAGTGATTGGATAGTTACAGAAAGTGGTTACTGTTGCGTTGTAGTGGAGCTCTATATAAGCAGGCTGACTGAACCCTTCAGCTCAGTTCTGTTCTGGCCTGTGAATAAACAAGAGCTGTTTGAAGAATCTCTGTGTCGTCTGATATGTTCACCCACAACTTAACAGAAATAATAATGTTGGTGGAGAAGCATTGAATTGTCTTTTGTAATGACCAGCCTTTATACTGTTGTTAAAACTGCCAGTTTAATCGGGTTCAATTTGAGCACGAAAGATGTTAAATTGTTTTTTTATACGCAACAGCGGCAAGAGTATTGTTAGCCCAGAAATGGAAGCAAGAAGAGATTCCGACGAAAGAAGAATGGCAAATAAATTTAATGGACTATGCAGAATTGGACAAAATGACAGGAAGGATTCGAAACCTGCGGGACCAGAGATTTACAGAAGATTGGAAGAAATATATGAATTATATGAAGA